CCCCTTGCGGGCGCCCCGGGTCCTGACAGAGGTGGGAACATGACTCACCAATGCTCTGTCGGACTGCGCAGGGCGGCTAGCACCGATTGCCTTGCCTCGCCAGTCGATCCAGGGCTCGTGCTTCTCAAGCCAGGGCATGCCCAGGATCATATCATATGGATCCATATCGAGAACAGTGAACTGCTCGAGGCTGTCAAAGTCTTCAAACTTGACGGCCAGATCCACTTGGACGTTGGGGACAGTGACGACCTTCCCGTCGGCCAGTCGCACTGACACCGTCCCGTTGCCCTTGCTTTCTCTCAAAGCATCGGCCAACTTGTTGCTGTTGCGAGCAGCCGTCTGTGGGGGGGGGGGGGGAATATTTTTCTCAGCCCCCCCCAAATCCAATTAAAAATTCTAAGGGGAGGGTCGCATTCTCGCTAAAACACTCCTGGTAATAAAAAACAAACCGCCGCTGGCTCTTCCCCCAATTCAGAAATGGAAAAAATCCTCAGGGGCTAAGTCCCCCTGGGTACGCGCCAACCGCGCACCCATCACGAAGACTTAGTTCTTCCCCAGTAGGGCGCCCCGCCCCTAATCGTTCCCGGCGTTTCCCCTGTCCCCGGGATCCTGGCTCTGCCAGCGACCCTTGAGGACGGGCTTGGGGAAGGACCGTCTGCGGAGTTCTTTCCGCGGGACAGTCGCGCTTGAAGTGGCCCATCTTCCCACAGCCGAAGCAGCGGATGTCACGCTGTTCGGCGGACCCGAGTTCCATGGGAACTGGTCCGTTGGGGCTTGTTCGACCGGGAGCCGACAAGGAACTCCCAGGCCACGCTGAGGCCGGCGTACGCGCCTGGCGATGGCTGTATTCTTCTTGAAGAGCTACTTGAATCGCCTCTTCAAGGGTGCTTGCCTGCACCCGGAACAGCTGAGTGCGTGCGGGGCCCACTCGAAGGCCGTCCATGAACACAGTCATCTTGATGTGTTCATTGAGTGGGTTTCCCACTAGGGACGCCGTGAGCTCCCGTATCTCTTGCACATACTCGTGCAGTTCGCGTCTTCCTTGTTTACACGCGAGGAAGCGCGAACGCTGGCGGTACTCGTAGTTCGCCGGGAGGAACGCGGCTCGGAGCTGTTCGCACAGCTGAGCCCAGGATGTGAAACATCCAGGGGATGTCGCTTCCCGAGTGTACACCCAACTCTTAGCACGACCGCTCCAGCAGGACCTGTGCAACATATCCTGTTTCCCGTCGAGTTCTCGATCCGGTCGTAGGTGCTCGTGTGGAAAGAAAGCTGTCTGTGGAGGCGAAGCGCTCTCGTATTTACGACTACTTGTTGGAGCACGACCAGAACGTCATTCAGGTTGACGTGGACAATCGCGTTCGCGAACACACGGCTTCCGCTTCTCTGCAGGACGATAACGAGGTGATGGCCCAGGCAATTGCTTTTTTCGCTACTGCAGACCCCGAGAATGTACCCACAGTGTCTGAAACGGATGCGGGTGAAACAGGCGTTCTTTCGTTGGCTACAGCTCACATGCGCCGTATGTACGGTCGTTTCAGCGAGGTTCTTCTAGTAGACTGCAGTCAGAAGACCAACCGGTGAGTGGTTTTGTTAGTTCCATGATTATATCCAGGATTTTATTTGTATTAACAGGATTTCCCCATGATTTCATTTTTTGGATTGTACATGGCTTATAATCCAGGTTTAAATCTAGGATTTTGTTGAGATGATACCCATGATGTTTTATTAGATTTTATCCAGGGTTTTTCCAGTATTATGTCCAAAAAAAATTCAGGATTCTAATTTGTATTTGTTTTGTACACTGACAGATACGTTTCCCAGCTCCTGACATTCATATGTATGAATGAATTTGGCGAGGGAGCAGTCGTGCAGCAGTCACTCATTGAAGCTAATGGAGACTGGTACATGGAGCGTGCGATTGCGCACTTTAAACGTTCCCACCCCACTCGGATCCACATGCTCTGCGTGATCGTGGAGGATAAAGTTTTGAGCGAAATTCGCGTTCTGGAAACAAATTTTCTGGAAGTCAGGATCTTGATTTGTCACTTTCACGTGATAAAGTACCTGAAAGAGATGCGTTCAAAGCCGGAATTCGGTAAGATATTTTCTGAAGATGCGAACCGAATCGACTCAGCGGTGCACTAGATGGTTTATGCTGGAAATAAAGCGGTGTACGCAGCGACTCTTCGTTCGCTTCATGGGATTAGTGATCGTATTGGATTAAATGGGTTTTTCGCTTACTTCCAGAAAAATTGGGAATTCCTGCAAAGTCCGCTGGGTGTCATACCTGCGCGCTCATTTACCTCACTTCAAGAACCATACGAACAACAGCTTGGAGAGTTTTTTCGGTAAGCTGAAGGATAGAGTTGATGGTTCCATGACGATGGCGCAGTGCGTCAAAGCTCTGTTGGCATATGATCGCCGCAAACAGAACGAGTATCATGACCCGAATTGAGCGTATAGATCAGCTCGTTAGTTCAAATTACGATGAAGAGATGAGGACGGTGCCACGCTTTACGACTCATAAAGTGGCTTAACCTATTGAGGGCCAATACGCTAAAAGGGAGTGGAGAAAGCGTCCAAGTACAAATTCGATCCGTGTAATGATGAGTCCGACTCAGTA